TATGTTCAAGTTGATTCTCGTGTTAGAAACTATAAATTTAAGAGAAATGACTATCGTTTTTGTTTTAGTAAATTATAGAGAGAATGACTCCACTTGAAAACTTAATCATAATTCAAAATATCTACAATAGAATCAAAGAAATGGCTATAATTCACAAGTAGTGATTATGCATTATGCAACATAAGAAACAATGAAGGAAGAAAATTGATTATAACAACAGCATATACCCCACATATTTAGAGGGAAAAAAATGGCACATAATAACATTTTATAGTCAGCCTTAGTGGTGGATCTCACATATAGCTAACACCAAACACTGGTGAACGTATGTGTATGGTTTACTAAGATTACACGGGACATCTCCTTTTAGTATTTATATATTTACAACATTTTAGAAGAATACAAGTGCGACTCGTAGAATTGGCAAAACAATTTAAGAAACCGAAGGCTGGTTTTTTTTTATGATGTTCTCGAAAGTAGTCTTGAAATTTTGGATGTTCTCCATAGCAAATGTGGATTATGCGACAATAAAAAAATTTCAATTTGACACAATATGTTTTACAAACAGTAATGTTAACCCTTCGAAATTGTTTGATTAAAAGAAATTAATGCAAGGACACGAGAAATTAAGTATTTAAATTTGAAGAGTACACAAGAATCGAATTCAAAAATAATTGAGGCAAGTTCAATATATACTAATTGAAGCACTTTGATTCTTTGAATCCATTCTAGGCATGATTAATAAATGAGAATTCATAAAAAAAAAATTCCAAAGGTAATAAGAAAGTAATTTATTTGCCGCACATGCAAGTCTTACCAGAGATGACAATTGGGTTGGCCCTTGAAATTTTCATTTACGATCAATAGCTGGAATTTGGCATTTATGTCTAAGGAAATTATAGTCATTATTGACAAATTACAATCATATTATGTCATAATTCTTATCTCATTATTTTGGTTAATACCAATAAATGAGGAATAAAAAGTAAAATAAATCGAAAATTGCAGCTGAGGTACCAAACATTTCGTTTATTAGCAGACTTTGCCCAAACCTTTCATTTGTGCCACTGGAGATACCAAACCTTTCAAAAATCTGCACCCGAAGTCCAAATAGATGGAAATCGCCCATTTGACCGTTAGTTGACCAAGAAAAGTAAAATTTGACCTATTTTGACCAAATTGGAATGGGTAAAATGATAACTTGATAATTACAATATTAAATAAATTGAACAAAAAAAATCAAAAAATTAAGAAAAGAAATTAAAAAATGGTTGTCTTCTTCAACCTCTCCACCCCACCTCACCATATTTGTCCCTAAACCAGCCACCAGCACCACTGCACCCCACCCCACCTGTCACCAGGGTTCTCCATATCCTCTAGGGTTCTCCCTTGTGTCTCAGGCAACAATGTGTAGAAGAAAATCCAAGCCACAATTGCAATCCCTGCGAACAGCAATTAAAGAATCGGCATTAGAAGCAATTAAATCAAGAAATTGACAACAATTTCTCTATCAAATACTCAATTCTTTGTCCTCCAAATCAGTCCTTCAATCCTAGTTTCTCTTCCCCGTATTTCAATCCCACCACCATTCCACGTTGTCGGTTAACCCCAATATTTCCATTCGTCATCCCATCGCCACCGTGCATGCGGCAGAGCTTGCCAAAACACCTCTCATCGCCACCAAGAAGCCAACCGTGTCACCGACTCACCACCGTCTTCCGCCGTTAAGTGAGTTCTGGAGAGCTGATATAAACATAGGAAAAGCTCGATATCTCGAGACAAACCCAGAAATATTTGAGGATTGGATTGAGAACCATTTTGGAGAAATGCAAATTTGTAAGAAGCTATCAGAAAAGCTATAGAAGAAGAATAAATGAGAACCTTTTTTCTTTTCTTTTTCTTTTTCTTCTTCCCCCCCCCCCCCCCCCCCCAACAA